CGATGATTGCGCGCAAGTGGTACGTGAGCACTCGGGCCCATCAGTAAGAAAGATAAGATAAGATAATCAAATTATGATAAGACATCATAATTAAGCATAATCAGCTCATGCATATTTATTCATGTGTACTTACAGTTATTTTGTGAGATATAGTTCCTACTTACTGAGCGAAAGCTCAATCTGATATGTTCATGCTGTAGGTAAGAAACCTATCAGCAATTCTTGAAGGGCAATGGCGAGCGGTGGACGAATGGTGGAGATGGGAATGGATACCGCTCACGCAGTTATCTTCCGCAGTAAGTTTAAGAAAAATCATGTATATGTCTATATGATTCAAAGGTTTCAAGTATGTATGTTTAAAAAGTATACGTACATATGTATGTTAAGAAAACCAAGGTTGTAGCTAACAACCCTAGTTTTGAGTATTTAAGTTTTAGAATGTTACAGTACATGCAACAAATAAATGAATTTTAAACATGACGATTTAAATGAGTAATTTTAGAAGGACTTTAAGATGTACTTGAATTTAAGATTTCTCACGAAATCCGTTTTAAAGTCAAATGAGATGGCCGATTGAAATGACTAGTTTTAGAGAAGCTTTTAAAGAGTATTTGAAACAAGAGTTCAAATGCTATTCCGTTTGAAGGATATTCCTAAAAGGTTTTATCTTAACTAAAATTAAGAAAAACTTTAAGAAATTTAGTGATTCACTTATTTGAAATTATTGTTACAAATTATGAAAGTATTCCTTCTTATATAAAAAAAAAAATGTTCCGCATATTTTAAGAAACCCCAGTAAGTACAAGTTAAAATTTAAGTTACAGTGGCGGCCTCATAGGAGGGGCGTCACAGTTTTAATGGTCAATTAATATTTTTAACGGTTAAATTTATAATTGAAAAGCGTTCTATAATTAATGTAAATCTTTGAAAAGTAAACCATTGAAAATTAATTTAATGCCTAAAACAATAATTTTTATTGGTAAGAGAAAAAACAGTTCATGCCATCGAGTTTCTCTAGAAAATTTTAAGGATATATGAAAAGTTATAGTATACAGAATACATCTCAGAAGTATTATTACTACAAACCCATTAGATTTAAAAAAAAAAAAAAAAAAAAAATCTAGAATCAATGAAATCATTTAATCTAGCAAGGTAGGGTTATCTGCCATTGTTCCGAATATGGATTCCTGTTTCTTCGATTGTCTTCTTACCTATATACCATGAATGGATTTTGATATTTTGCTATGACTGCTTATGTTCTTGTAGTCTTCAAATGCAACGTTACTTTAGAACGCGGCTTACGAGGGAAAGATTTTTACTTAGTTTTTTTTTTTTTTTTTTTTTTTTGTTTTGTAAAAGTTTTTAGCTTGGGTTTATGAGAAAGGGACCAAAGGGTCACGCGCTTATAATTATTATTTTTGGATAACATATAGTGTCCCCTTTTTTCTTTCTTGGTACGATATGGCACACTGACTGATCAAGTAATAAAAAGCACCGTCAGAAAAATAATAATAACAACAATAAAAGCACCGTAAAATTGCATAAAAAATAAACAAAAGTGCAGCAAAAGAAGATATACAAACAGAGATATATATCTTTTCTTTACTCATGTTTTAAACTCACGATGAGAGCCATCTCATTTAATGATGTTTTAACACCGACATTTTCAGTTTACCAATATTATGACGTTTTCAGATACAAAATTAATAACCCTTATTCTTCTTCTTTTGAGTGTTGCTAATATGCATGCACTTGTCATAATCTCTGCTTTGCTTAAATAAGTTGCTCCCATAAGAGTCAATGGGTGTGTGTGTGTGTGTGTATACAAATATGATATATCCCACCAAAAAATCTCGCTCATTTAAACAAGGTACTCAGTACTTTTCGTAACGTTGCCCTGTTTTTTCCTCTGTTCCATTACTTTATATCCGCTTCCAACCAACCAAGTTAACCATAATTTCCACATATGGTCCCCCATAACATAATCCATCCCATGACAAATTTTTTTGTACCGTGTGGCAGCTGTAAGCATGGGGAACCATTTTCACAAACATTTCGACACCACGAACCAGCCCCCCACATGTTTCAAGATATTTTGATAGCAAATTATAAGTAGCCAAAAAAAAAAAAAAAACTTTCTTATATAATACAAGGTGAAATTTTAACTACAGAGGAAGAACAACATAAAACAAACAAATAAACAAACTTAATAAACCAAAAATAAAAAAAACAAACAAAAAAAAAACATGGAGCACATGTTTTTATACATAACAAGAAGCTCACTTTGATCCTCCCCACTTGTTTACTTTTTTTTTTTTTTTTTTTTTTTTTTTTTGAGAGAGCCGTAGTAATGGCAGTGGTAGTAGTAGTGTTTTAGTGGCGGTGGTGGACACATTCCTGGGGGATGGTGGGGAACCTAGCAGTGTCGGAGCAGTAATCATAGACCATGTGGTTGGCCCGGACCCACATGAGCTGGTGGCTCTGGTGGAGGTTGAGCTCCGACAATGTGGGCTTGTCCCACCAGAACCTCTTCTCGGCGGAGCTGCTGCACTTCCTGGCACCGTCGGCGGCGGAAACTGTGGCGGGGAATTCGCACGCGTTGATGTCGAATCCCTTGTATGAGGCCACAAACGGCGCGTGGGACCAGTCCGTCTTGACCCGACCGCCTTGTGTGGCCCAGTCGTCCGCGTTCCAAATGGAGCTGTACACGCCCATGGCTTGGTCTTTTGGGAACGGAATGCCCTTCTCCTCCATATTGGTGTGCACTCTAATTGGAGTCTCATCCACCATAAAACTGTATCAAAGCAAAAAATAAAAATAAAAAATGTTAATTCCAACCGTAATTTTTTTTAATCATGAGTAACCATTTCAATGATGAAAAGTGCAAAACAAATGGGGCCCTGTACGGATTATGCAAAGATGGTGGTGGGGGGACCCCTAGAGACATCATCATCCAAGATTCCTTGCCATTATTCATAGACAAGTTTGTTGTTTAGTGCCAACTTGATTTTACAGTCTTATGAAAAATGACACATTTTTAAAGCATAAGTAGTTTATTATGTTCTATACGAAGAGTAAATTTTTTGGAGTGAGAGAATCGGTGGCTCACACAACATTGTCATTTTTCATGGACAAGTTTGTTGTTTTGTGCCAACTTGATTTACAGTCTTATGAAAAATGATACATTTTTAAAGCATAAGTAGTTAATTATGTTGCGAAGAGTAAATTTTTGGAGTGAGAGAATCAGTGGCGTACACAACATGGCGTTGGTTCCAGAAAATGGAATATGAGTGGAATTCCGTGGTGGGGTCGAACCACAGGTTCAGTCTCTGTTCTCTGTTACCTACTCCATTCACGTAAATATTGGTCTGAACCGAATAGGGCTCTCCAGTGGTGTTTCCCAAGAACTCATAATCAAACTCGTTGTGGTTTGGACCGTCTGATGACATCTGCATCAGAAAAAATCAAATAAATTAAAACCCATCAAGATTTTCCATTTTTTAAAATACATATGAACAATATAAAAGTGACAAATTTCATTTGTTAATAATTGTAATTTACTGAACATCCTAATAATCTTTACTAAGATGTGTGACAAACCTCAACTATGCATATTGATGAGTACGGACAACAATAAATGAAGAATTAAAGGGAATTGCAGCAATTCACGAGGAAAAGAAAACACGTAGCAGGTAGGGTTGTAGTAATAATAACAAGACTAGCTTAGCCATTGATTGGTTCATGAAAATCCAAGATGAAATTTGTCTGTGACTGACTGTGACTGAGAAAACGTTTCGATCCAACTGAGTGATTGGTTTGTGAAATTATTGATTTGGGGGACCCAGCTGACGTCAGTACCATCATCTGAGCTGTCCTCGACTTTTACAAATGGGTCTATTCAAGAATCAAGGTCGCTTAAGTGGTAACACTAATTGAAAGGGCATAAAAGATAAAGAAAAGCATATTGTCCTTATAGAAAGCAAATTTCTACGACCTTTATTAACGCACAAACATAAGATCAACGCAAACATATTAACAAACGAAAATATGATATAATGGCACATGTATTATTATAAAAACATTGTTAATATGCATGAGATTAGCGTTTTAATGCTCTTTATACTTACATAAAAAGCAGTAACAGTTCCAGCAGAATCACCCTCGATGAGCTTAATCTGGATGGTCACTTTCCCAAACATATATTTGTTCTTTGATGAAAACCCAGCACCTGAAAATTTATGCCCAACCAAGCAAATACGATCAGGACTTGTGAAACAGATAAAAAACTGAAAAAAAAACAAAAAAACAAAAACAAAAACAAAATTTGGACTGCATTTATTATATTATGAATGGATATATAATAAAAAAAATCGGATTTTTTTGTTAGATTACCAGAATAGTTGTCAAGTTTGAGCTTGAGAAGCTCTCCTTCGTAGACAAAATGGTCCATAGCCCAGCTAGGCTGGAAAAGCTCTTCAAACTTGGCTGAGCTAACGGAACTCACCGTTACAACAAGAGCCATAAACAACAAACTCATTACCGTACCAGACATTTTAGCCATGAGAATTGAGAAAAAACAAATGAAAGAAAACAGAGAGAAAGAGGGAAGAGAATGCTGAGCAGAGAGTGAAGGTTCTACTACTCCGAAATGCTTGCTGCTCTGTAGGGTCACAATACAAAAACACTCCCATTTTATAGCCGGATTCGGTTGGCTTCTTTCACAAGCCCTTCTCTCATTCTCTCTCTATTCCTTCACGTTTTTTTCCCATGTCATTGGCCACGTCAGCTGGATTTACGTGCCACCTCAGCGCCACGTGGGAATATTTTCCGAAAAATTTCCAAAACATTCCGAAAAGATTTTGAAAATAAAAAAAAAAAAAAAAAAAAAAAAAACAACTTAAAAAAATGTAGCCGTTAATCCCCCCCCCCACTTAGCTGGACAAAAGCTGGGCACTGTACTGAGGGGCACAGGGTACGGCACATCTGCCCAGAAAAGATGAGTGCAGATTCTATCCAATTAAAGGGAGACACGTGTTATTTTACAGCTGGTTCATGGAGTGGCCAGCTGTCACTGGCATACGAGCTAAAAGAGGCTCCCTCTTTTGCTCGCAAGCGTCTGAGCCATGTCCTTTTGGAATAAAAAAAAGATCTGGACCACTCTCTTCGCGTGTAGCTTTAACTCGAAACTCGCTTTTTCTCAACGACACGTCGTTTCATTACCGAAGGATTGGCTTTCTCAGAGCGAGTTTAGGGAAGTTTTTCATGTACTTGTGAGTAAGGGCAAATGGGACTTTTTGCATGGCAACGTCACTTCACTTTATCATCTTTGCGATTTGTTTTACCTTGGCGGAGGGGCAGTGCCAGCTGGGCAGTAGGAGGAGCGCACTGTACAATGCCACACATTTCTTCCAATCCTTTTTCTTTTTTCTTTTTTCTTTTTTTCTTCTCCCTTTTAAATGTTGATTTTTTTTTTCATGGAATTTTAAATTTTGATTTACTACAAATAAAGTGTGAATTTTTTTTTTTCTGGTGGCTCTCGAGATGCGTGACTTATAATTGAGATATTTGACAATAAAATATGATATTAGTGGGAATTATGATAGAAATAAAATGTCTCGTATTGAGAAATGGGTAAATGGGTTATGGGACTGCAGAATTGGTATTTTGACAGATTTGGAAACCCATAAAGTCATGCTCCAAAGCCAATAATGACAATGATAGTTCGCCTTTTCTTTTGGGTATAGATAGCTTTGCATCATTTTTATTTTATCAATAATAAGAGTCAGTAATTTTACCGAGTTTTGTTATAATATAAAATATTTAAAAATTATCATATTTAATTTTTTTTTACATAAATTTATATCTAAACTCAAATTAAAAATTTAAATTAACGAACTGAACGGATCATAAATGTGTTCGTACTATTGAAATGAACTTTAATGCCCCATTATACTTGTGGACTCAACAAACCTTCCGATTTAGCTTTAATTGTTAAAATTATAGGCCCCGTTCATTTCGCTAATTCGAGTTTAGAATTTGAGTTTTGTTACAGTAAAAAGCTCTCACAAATAATCACATCTAACTTTTTTACTACTGTAAAAAAATCTCATATAAAATCACATCTTAACTCAAATTAAAAACTCGAATCAGTGAACTAAATGGGCCCGATCCGCAACACTCAATTTCATATATGTAGGATTTTGCAATAATGGATCTCAGGTGTGCTAATAATATGCTAAATCACAAAAGAAAGTTAGATTTCATGACATACATAAGAAAGAAGGGATTCACTCGATCATATTATGAAACTACTTGTGCAATTATACACTTAATGGATTAGTAGATAACCAATGGCTAACCAAACGATCCTTCTTGTTTAATGAGGACGGACAGCTCAAAAGAAGACATTTTGAAAATCAAAAACGGTAAAAGACTCAGAAAAAAGAAAGGGGTTTCTTTTTTTTTTTTTTCAGCTAAAGAAGAAATATATCTGTACGGTCTTTCTTGCACGAATCACTTGTATCACAAGCCAATGAGAAAAGCTGAAATCACGGCTCTATTCTTATTCGAGTTTAGAATTTAAGTTTTATTACAGTAAAAAACTCTTAAAAACAGTCACATTTAACTTTTTTACTATAATAAAAATTTTTTATACAACATCACATCTTAACTCAAATTAAAACTCAAATTAACGAACCGAACCAGAAGTATCACTCTACACTCTACTCTCTACTCTCATAAAAGCCTTTGATGTATTGGCCCAAAAATAAAAATAAAAAATCCAATGCCCCCCAATATAAAGAACCCACGTGAGAGAGGGGCATTTTAGGAGACCTTTTAGGAGGTGTTTGGTGGGTGAATCTAAAATCATAATTTTAGATCGAATTAGTATTTAATTTGAATAATTTAAAATTTAATTTAATGTTTTAAATAAGAATCACTCATAATTTTAAAACCACATTTCTTAATTTAAGGTGATTCAACCCTATAATTTTAAATCATAATTTTAAAATAATAATTTAAATTTAAAATAATAAACATAATTATAATTACTTTGATTTAAATTCTCATACTAAATAAATAGTACAATGAGGCGTTGGAGATATTTTCCACAGCTGGACCAGTTTAAATTTAAAGCAGACTTCATTGCACAGACTGTCAATTTGGTAAGACTGAACCAAAAGAAAAATCGATTGTGAATTATCGAATTGCATTGATTGAATGATTTCTTGCGCAAAGAGAGTTCCAGTGCTTGGGTTAAAATGATTACCATGGTTCAGTATTATCTGTGTAGCCTTTTTGGAGGTTCTCAGCTAATAGGCCTATTTTTAAGTAAACGATAAAACAGTTCACTGTGCTATCAATTTTTTTTTTTTTTTTTTTTTTTTGACTTGCACGTCAAAAGCACGCAAACAACCAAGGATTGGAATCATGCAACTTCTTCCTCAACCACATCTCTTTGCCAATTGAATGCCAATGATGGACCATAATATGGGTCACAATCATTTCCCCTTATTTTTGTCTTCTTTATTTCTGAGGTCCTTATTTGGACTCCAACTAAGACATAAACAAATAATAACCTAAATAAACATTAAATTATGGTCATGATCGAATGATTAGAAAAATTGTATCATGTGTTACCAATTACCATCACTTTACAGCGGAAGATATGTGACATTTGATGTGGTACTATTATATTAAACTATAAAGAAATTAAATAGTAAAGATTTGATCTTGGGAAATATTTTAAAGAATTTGGGGGGTGTAGATGCACAGGCATTTGGTGGTAGAGTGCACGCATGTTGACGTTCATGACGCCTTTAATACCCTCTCACACTCTCAAAGTCTGTCACGCTTTTTTGGCTGTCCAAAGGAGGTAACTTTTTTTTAAGAAAAACATTTATGTAACCGAGTTATCTCTACAGAGCACCAATTGGCTACTTGACAACCAACCGAATACGTCCACGTAAGCAGATGTCTCAAACTATGCTGACGTGTCATTTTTCCATTGGTGAGTTACAATGGCTTACCATGGTCTTGTTCACATAGTAACAAGGGGAGTGGCACAGTGGCCACGTGAAATGTGCTTGTGAATTACACAACACTGAGAAATGAGGATAATTGGGTAGGAGGTGACGGCTGTTTTGTTGAAAAACTGGGAGCAAAAGGCCAAAAAAGGAAACCTCTCTCACCCGCACGTGATTCTAATATATGTTGATCTTCTGCGTTTTGTGGAATTTGATGCTCAGAAAATTGTCGAACTACGAGGTCACGTGCAGAAACCACAACTTACACAAATCACAGACACACACGCACATACCAACTCCAATCTGCTTCCGACCATCCACAGCAAGGCAATTGAGTGTCGTTTTGGCGCTAGTAGTTACCATTTTGTGGAATGAAATTTCATACTTGTGACTTGTGCCCTTTGGAAATGTCTTGATTTGAATTGAAAAATATAAACGGTGTTGTTTAAATTGCAATAAATTTGTATATATAATTAAAGTATATTAGAATAATACTCGAATTTATATTTGAATAGGTGTAGAAAGTAAAGTGGATATACTGACTTTTTAATATTTAAAAACGGTTTGAACTCAAAAAAAAAAAAAAAAGTAAATTTTAAATTGAGCAGTTCAAGTCATTTTGAACTGTCCAAAAAATTTAGATTATTGATTGGCTAAATGTCAGTTTGAACTATGATCATTGTTATGAAATAAACCGGGCTTAATTTGTTTCATAAAAAAAGCTATGAGTACTACAATTGACTATAAATACAACTTCTAGAAGGTTGATCCTATTTGTGACCCATTTTCTATAAAACTCACTTTTTATTAGTTGTAATGCTTAAGACTACCACTGTCGCTAATGTTGATTTTCTGCAATGGATTTTTCTTTCACCGAATAATCGCTTATCATAAGTGGACTTGAGATTTTGCAAGAGAGCCTAAAGTTCAAAAAATTATTATTATTATTATTATTATTATTTGTGTATGATGATGTAGTTAATCCTAGTATACCATAAAATGACGTGGATAATTAAGTAGTATTTACTCCAAAAGTTGCCATTTTCATATCTATGAAAGCAAGTCATCACATCATATTTTATGTTAACGTAATGGAATTTGGATGGCAACGGAAGTTTCTTTTATGTAGTATTCAAGTACTGGGACCGCAACTAGTATCATGATTCATAATTCATGATTCAAGGAAACCTCCAATCAATCTCAGACGCTCCTAATAAATGAGATTCATCAACCGGTGTAGAATAGGGCAAGGGAACGTCTCAGCTCTATCTTTTGTTTTTGCCTCTGTTTTTCTTTTTTTTTTTTTTTTTTTTTTTTTTTTTTTGTGGGACCGGTTAATTAACAAGTTTTACCACTACATAGACAAACTAGTGTCACACCAAATTCCAAAATTATTCCCCACCACCTATTTAAACCACTGAGCTGTATATATGACAAGAAAATTTTGTCCGCAAAAGCATGGTATAGCACGAGTAGTAGATTTGTAATTGTGGCAAATGTTTCTCTGCCCCGTATGGCTAAGGGGAAAATGGAGATTCTTAGTGAATATATTGGATAAGATTTTCTTAGCAGTGCTTCTCAGCAATGGTATTGGAATGTGCCAAAACATTTCTCCAATGCCTCTTTTGCTGAGGGAAAAAGAAAACTTTTAATAACAACATAATGCTTTCCTAAAGCATCTCAGGAGATTGATTTTGGGATATGATCCTCTTATTATTTATATATATATATATATATATTTATAGATATATTTGTTAAAATAAGTTCATATATAGATTTTCGTTTTTTTTTTTTTTTCCTCTTTTCTTCTTATTAGCATCATCTAGATAGTAATTCAACAAGCTTTGTCCAAATGAAAGTTATTAAATTGCAATAACGCTGTAAATTAAATTTACTTCTAGGGATCAAAAAATCCTGTTTACAACATTAATAGGCAAAGCATAAGCTGGATCTATGGCTTTCAAACCTGGATATTCAAGGAGCATATATATTCATCATTAAGCATGAACAACTAATCGAGTACTAATTCATCAAAAAAAAAAAAAAAAAAAACTAATCTAGTACTAAGTTTTGAAGGAAAATGTAAACCAGCAGTTGATCAATTAGTCCCCACAATGTAGTTTATAATGCATTAGATAAAACAAAAAGGAAAATAAAAAAGAGAAGAAAACACACATTTGCCACAGAATGAGAGTGAAAATATTCTCCTCATAGCTAACTTATCTCTTATTTCGAAAAGCAATGAAAAATATATAGTTAACAAAAGATGAATAACAGAAAAATCATGTAGAGACAAAAGTATATGCGCGGTCTTCTCTTTGGTAGGTGCTTCATTTACAAGAAGGTCCTAGTAGCTTTGAATTCATCATTTATAAATTGATCACATGACTAATTGTTTGGTCTGGGAGGATATTGATCCAATGGCATATCTAGCCTGTTTGAAATTCTTCTACTTCCATGTCCTAAGAATCATAACAACCGTGGACATACTGTTAAATTGTTGAGTCTAATTATTGATCTGACAATTATTGTTTTACACAAAGAAATGAGTACATAGATTTTGAGTTTATTAGAGAGGTTAGAAACACAAAGAGTTATGAGATGTGTGATTTTTCTCATGTAAATTTCGTTTGCATCATAGTGAATCACTGCAACAATTGAAGAGGACGTAGTCTCGTATCAAGACGAATCTCTATAAATTTTACGTGCTTATTTTTGTTTAATTTTCTTCTATGATTTTCTTGCTCTCGATAATGTAGAATTAGGCATCTAATACTTGATACAGATTTCATGGTAGCTTATTTAAGAAACCAGTGAAAAGAACAACACTAGAGCCTCGTTCTTTTCTTTAGTTAGAGTTTTTAATTTGAGTAAAAAAGTGAATTTATATGAAATAGAACACTGTAGTAAAAAAGTTGAATATTCTTATTATAAAAAACATTTAGCAAAAACTTAAATTGTGATTCGAACAAAAGAAAACAAGAGGCCTAGAACTTCTTAAAGGATGAGTTAAAAGTAGAGTTAAAAGTTTAGATCAAATCAAACTGTCGGACCGAAGCCCCTTATGATTAGACTGGTCCCAGCCTGCTTGAGTGTTGGGATCGGGCTAGTAGTTTAAGACAAAACAACATTTTCGGGCTGGGCCTAAAACTCTTTCTAGACTCAGACCGGGTGATCCGAACTTTCACTCTACTTGGAAGATTGAGTAAGTAGTCCATCATATTAATACTCCACCTGACAGTCTAAGATGTCTTCGCAAGCTTACAAAGTGAGACTAAAATGTGAAGCAAGTTTTTTTTATTTTTATTTTTTTTTTAGAAGAAAATGTGAATCAAGTTTTGTCAAAGAACAATTACAAATATTTTTCTTTCTTAGAAGAAAAGTACGCAGATAAAGCTGATGATGAAGTATTACACCTACTCTTGGTCTTGCACAATGCCAAATGGCCAAAACTTGAAGCTGAAAGAGATAGATACACAAATTTGCATGTGATAGTATCATTTACAAGGTGTAAAGAACAACGATTGTACGTGATCTTCTACGCTGAAAAAGGTCTCGTCATCCCCATGTTGATAGATAATTTGGGCAGTTCTCGCAAGGTTAAAGCAGGCTTTGGTAATCGACCTAGGCAATGCAGATGGAGCCATTAAATGTTCATTTAGCTCCATCCATAAGTTCCCAATCATCTTTTTTATATGCTTTCTGGCTTCATCTTCCAATTCCACATTGTTTTCTTTCATGTAGCACTCCATGCTGGATGCCACATCTCCTCTCTCTTGCTCCTCCTAAGAAAAAAGTAAAATAATAAATTGCAATGTCAGCAAAAATGAGTTTCTCATACTAATAGTGATTTTGAGAAAGCAATACTATGGATGATCAGTATCATTTTTCAACCAATGATAGATAAATAAATAGAAAGGACTGGCATTTTTTTTTAATAATTACGGATTTTTTTATATACTGGGGCTGCCATGATTTGTAATGATATTTGTAATGAAACTTTAGTCGTCGTCCACTTAATGTGGCTGTATTAGTTGTTTCTTATGCTAATTGCTCCCTCTCAACATTTGCATGAACAAAAAGTTCTATTATTCATGATATTTGATTCTAAACAACATGAACATGTACCTTTGCAGTTCCTAAATCGTCCCAAAGCCGAAGAATTTTCCCTGAGCAAGAGAAGAGCTCGGGATAAGGCTCCATCATTGATACGGTTTCGTCTGTAACATCATGGCCTATGAGGAAAAATGAGTGTACTAACGCCATATATGATCCTCCACTGGTCACCCCATTTGTCAAATATTGTTCTAGAGTGGGCGTGTATCTTCTGTTGCACCATTCTGCTTCTGTTAGAAAAGCTTCAAATATATCTATCCACTGCAAAAATAACAGAATTTGCTCAATTTTCCCTGAATATGAAACCAAATAGATTTTCATATAATAGCTGAATTGAAATTAAAATACCGTTCTCTTTAAGTGTGCAGAAATACACCATCCGTGTTCTTTAAGAACTCTGTAGGCAATTTCATTAGTGGTATTGTACAATGCCATGTAACATATTTTCATGTAAGCAGGAAGCTGCTCCATTGCACTAAGCTCCCACCTGAAAAAGGAAAATGTCATATAATAAAATTATCAAACTGATTTTGTATATATGGCTTAATTAAACTGTTATTTATAGTGTCAAAATATGGTGGATGGAATTAACCTCTTGATTGCATCGTTGAATAAGATAAGTTCATCCAATGAGCCATAAGTGTCGTAGATATCATCAAGGACTAGTAAAATACAAACAGTTTTGGCAAGCTCAATTCGGATGTTCGAATAGCTTGCCTCAGGAAATACCCCCACAGTCCATAAGAAGCACTCAAATGGTCGATCTCTGGCAAAACCAAGTTTCTCAACAAGTCCCAATTGTTTCCACCATCTAAACAAAACAAGAAAATGATTCAACATATAATAATATAAAGACATGCGACAAAAACAAAGGGATATCCATAGCTAATTACATTATGATCTCAGCCAACTCCTTTCTGTGGAGTGACTGAAGCTCGCTGAATTCCAATTCAGCAAGTTCCAAAAGAGCTAGAGAATGGTTGCTTTCTTGGCTATATTCGTCGATATAGTTTCTGGCTTCTAATGTTGCCATCCTCAAATGCCTTGGGAGCTCCAAGGATTTGGCAATTTGAGTTTGCAACTGAGGAGGTAAAGACGGCAATGACTGTTTGAGGTGAGATCTTGTGAATTCCATGGCTTTGAGTAATTTATCTTCGCCTTTTGCGCCGAGGTAGGATGCCTCGTACAAGCTCAACATACCCCATATGTCTTGTCTCAGTGATTCCTTGAAGTCTCCCTTGTTGTTCATAAATTTGTCGAAAACATCTAGCAGACCACAAAGGATATATTCAACCTTCATAAGCTAATTAAGAATCCAAAAGATAATGCCTCTTTAGTTATGACAGAAATTGGGGATGCTATAGTTATAGAGAGGGTTAAGATTTAAGCTGGGCAGAGGAATGATATGAAATAATAATACAATATTATTTCAATTGTGTACTTAGAACAAAATAACCTTCTAATTGGTTTTCAATCTTATCTGATCACTTTCAAAGACCCCATATGCACTCTATTTATATTGAATTGGTTAGTGTGTTGTAATACCTTTTCATGCCAAAAAAGACAAACTATGACAATTAATGATATACCATTAATTCTGAAGACGGTTAAAAAAAAACATTAGCTATATCGTCTATGAGTATGACATGCTATAAATCATGAAAAAAATGATAAAATTGTACCAAGTCCATTTTGCAAGGGAGCTCAATTCTTGGTTCAAAGTGTAGTACTGCACATATGCCACATATAATAATTTGAGGTTCTGTTTTTAAATGGTAAAAAAGTGTTAGGATTTTATAGCCGCCTGTCAGGTCTAACAAGAAGTATAGTTTAATAATTACGATAAGAAAACAATAGACTCTAATTAACCGGTAGAGTTTTAGACCGATACCTGAGCTAGTTGGCAAGCCATTATGCCTCAACAAGCGGAAACGGAGCGCCGCGTCATAGAGGCCTTCATTGGAATTGTAATCCAAGAATCCTTCAAGTAACAGTCTAATTTCTTTTTCAAAATGGTGTCCAACTCCCAGCCGTTGAATTACGTCAACCAGTTTCATTTTAGCCCTCTGACTAGAAGGTTCTCGTAACGCCTTCTTAATCTTCGCTATCAGTTCATCTGATGTAGAACTCACACTGCTCGGATCATGCTCGTGATGATAAGCCTGATTAGATACAACCTAACAACAACAAAATATCCATTGCTTCCAATAAGAACCAAGAATCTTTGAAAAAAAATAAAAATAAATAAGTACTCACGATTTTTACATATATATCATGCTTTTACCTCTTGATGAAGGACGAGAGATTTCAACAGAGTTTCATTGTGCGAGATCTCTAGCGTTGATGGCTGTGTTGTTGGCGATAGTTGTGATTGGCATTTGCAAGACAACGAATCACTATGACGCGCGAAATTAAGCTTTTTCTTCGGTGAATAAGCTTCCCGAATCGACACCGCAAATGGAAGTTTTGTCAAGCCCGACATTATTGAAGAGTGTGTGTTGAACTTAATAACTCCTTTCATTTGCATTCTAAAATCTTCCCCTGCGTACTATGATTCTGGTTCTAAGGAATGCAGTGTTACAGCATAAGTTATATATAGATATATATATATATGTATGTATGTATGTATAGTGCAACAACATTTTTGCGTGGGAAAAAGGGCTCGTGACATGCACAAATGGTACAAGACGAGATTGCTGACCCCCTATCAAGTCATATCTGTGTACATGTATCTATTGTTCAACTTGCAGGCGGGCGATAATTTTGGTCAGAGCTATTAGATTGATCCATTCGGGTTAGCTAGGAAATTGATTACAACTATTTTTTTTCTTTTGTTTTTGCTTTTTTTGGATAAAAAACAAGTCAAATACCCCAATTGGGAACTTCTGCATGTTTGAAAGTATTGGACTTGGCCCATTTAGTTATTGCCTTGTGGGCTAGGAGGGACCATTGATGGCAGCCCCCACAAACTCTCTACATTATGACATTCCCTTCTGAAATTTTTTTGTTAATTTATTTACTTACTTTTTTATGAAAACGTTTGAAGGATTTTCATTAAGAAATAAGAAGTAGATAAAAATGTAAAAAAATAGCTTGTGATTGTCGACTTTTATCTTGTACAATAGACCGGTTTGTCAAGGGTTTGTAATTAAAATAAGTACAATGCATTTGAATTCAGAAAGTAGCAGTGGAGTTTGGGAGGAGGGAGTTCAACCGCGGATTGTATTAAAAAAAAAAAAAATGTAGCTGCAACCAGAGAGGCCGCTAAATTAGAAAAAATTTCTAGACGAGAAACACTCCTTGCCGTAAAATTAATTTTCCGTTGCCTAAAATAATAGGTGGGAAGGATTAGCAGTATCATTTTGAAGTCCACTACAAGCCAAAACGCCAATTGGTCGTATTTGGACCAAAATATTGTCCTAGACCAAGCAATAAAAGAGAAGCAGCCGAAAACACGGTCGTGTGCATAAGCAACATTTGTGATAATATTTAGATGTTGTTAGATCTAAATAAATTGGCACTGGCAATTGGTAACGAAGTTCGATAACCACTTCCATCCGCGGGATCACTCTCAGACAGTAAATAATTCATTAAATATCAATAATTACAATCACCAATCAAACTTATACACTCAAAGACTCCATCTTCAACAATATCGTCACCGTATCAAATCTATTTGATAATCTTGTTCAACGAGCATCATTTGTCTTTAAAAACTGCACAGTGAAATTCTTTCGACTGACAATACAGGACGATCTCAATAACACACAAGACTCACAAAAACCTACATACTCTTTTCTAAGAATATTCTATTAAACCCGTAAATAAAGTGAGCAACCTTGAGCAATATTTATAAGCCTTCTAATATTTGTAAACGTCAACCAGATGACTACTAGTGTAATTCAAATTATTCTGCTAATTATCTTCACACTCTATCTGCAGCCATTATCTCCACGTTTTGCTTCTTCAGATAAACCATCTAATTAATCCTTCACGCCACACTTTGGCTTGTAAATTCACATTATCCCTCACGTCGGCTTCATGTGGATAAGCCATGCAACTTCAAATCATTTATATAAATAAATGACAGATCTCTGCAGCACACCAATTAGTACTTATAGCTTGAAATCCAACCAAAACATATCTTCTATTTCAGCATTTATATCTTGAAATCCCACATTTAAAATCAACAGCACTTTCAAATATCTCTTGAATTTAAACTTCATAACTGCTGTAACTCAGTTAACCTCGGCTAATCTTGAACCTGTGTTTTTAAAAAAAAAAATTTTAAACGCTGCCAATTAATTGCCAACTAACAAAAAAACCTGACAGATGTTAACGAAGAGACATCACTACTGGTAATAGCAGCCCAATGTCATGTTAGAAAAGGAACAAAACTGAACCTGAAACTCTTCCGAAAAGTTGAAATTGAATGAGAGAAGCAAATGAAATCGACCCGAGCTGAGAGGCGATCACGGTCACGGGTTACCCCTACACTGTGGGATGCGCTACAGGATTTAACGGCAAATGGAGACACCCGGTACCCAACTACCTTTGTCCTAGAGGTTCTCTTGACTAAGAATTGCACTTCCTTTCACTTCAATTAAGTACATTTCCTCAACTTGGTGCAGTATTATTCGTTTGGTCAGATATGGACATTCCATTTTTGGCTAGCTACTTAGTGGGGATATCATATGTTAATGAGAAAAGCCAATCGAAGCATCAACTTTAAGGGGCATAAAAGACCCACAACAATGTAAGTGTTGTTGCATTGTATGATTAATGCACCAAATGAGTCTCATGTCAATTGCTACCCTTCCAAACAGCCGATTGACCACTAACAACCTTCCAAGGAAACTCGTAGGGCTATTCACGGCCTGGTCCAATACGAAACCGTAAGGTTCTTAGACATGACCATTATTAACAGTTTCAAAAAATTCAGACTAAACCAGACCGATGTAAGATGGGACCGAACCGAACAACTAGTAAACAATCTGGTCCAGTCAACCCATAATTTGCACCGTCAGTATTTTTTTTTTAATTAACAAATCATATGTTACGTAATACATATCATCCTTTAAAATTAACATTAATTACAAACAATAATAATTTGTAATCCAAGGTAAGAGTCATTACTATTGAACAATAATATTATAGCCATCCAAAAGGTAACAACAATAACATACCATCTAAAAAAAAGTCCATAACTAGTGATATGATAGTCATCCAAAATCAAAAGGTAACAAATAACAATAACATGCAATGGAAATCAAAAGTCTATAATTAATAATGTTACAGTCATCTAAAGTCTAAATATAAATAACAACGTATTAAATAAATATTATGCTTAACAATCCAATCCCGTTCGCACTGTTAGAAAAAAATTACAAACCCGACTATATTATAAAGAAAATGGTCCGATTCGGTTTTAAATTATTTATTAACAGTGCTAACGTGGAACCAACAATTTGAACCAAATCGTGCACGGCCCTAAAACTCAGTCTCTACTGCATAAGAGTATGAGCTTTGAACAAGGGGGCAAAAATAGAGAGTTCTAAAGGAACACCCATTTAATGGCGGAGAATTTAAAGATTTATGCTCTTACTTAAACACTAAAGATTTCTGCATTTATTTTAATAGAATTAACTTTTAAAAGCTGATTTAAAGGGTTGCATTTCCTAATTTTCTCTTGGAGACAATACCAAATTGGGAAAAGAATAGCCTACTAGATAATGCTTTTGGCTGCTTCTGATCTGTAATATATTTTTAGTTTTTTTTTTTTCTTTGTTTGACTTGTAAAATGTTTGCTTGGTGACCTAGATGGGACAAATAATTTGAAATGGGAGCATTACGGTTTGGAAGCTTATACCTTGAAATGGTGACCTACTTCAATAAACGTTAAATATACTATGGCTTAGTTTGGTATTACTTTTCCCTCCCAAAATTAGCTTCTGCTTGTAGCAGAAGTTGATTTTAGTGTTTGGTAAATCTCTTCAAAAGTACTTTTTGAAGAATTTCTCAAGAATCTACAGCCAAAATCAGAAACAGCCTAAAGACAACTTTAGCTTTTAGATTGTGCGGGAATCATCATAGTACAATTAATGAAATTTTCATAATACTCATAATACCCCTAATGAAATTTAAAATTTACAATCTTCCCAATCTAAAATTCAGACTCGTAATATAATATAATATAATAGTAATATTGTAACAAATAATATCATAATTATATTAATAACTCTAATATTATTATTTTATCATATAATATGATATTATAATAATATTATAATAATTTTAACAATATGATATTATAATTATAATATAATTATAATATGATATTATAATTATAATATGATATTGTAATTATTATTTTATAATATATTATATATTATATTGTATTGATATAATTATATTTATTATAATAATAATTAAATATTAATATAATCTTATAATTCTAATATTATTATTTATTATAGTGTATTACACAACATTATGGTTATATAATATATTAATTATAATATATTTGTTTAATATAATATAATAATAATTATATAATATAATATAATATAGTTGTAATTTTTAATTTTATTATAATTGAAATATTAATATTTATTATGTAATATTATAATATTGTAATTATATTAACCATTTTAATAATATTATTATATTCTATATCATAATTATATAATAAGTTATTTAATAATAGTTTTATTGTATTATATTAAATATATATATTATATATCATAATTATATAATATATTATATAATAATATTTTTTTTGTATTATATTAAATATAGTAATAACTATATATTATATTGTAATTATATATATATTATATTATAGTATAATATAAGGAGTTATTCTTTTGGAGTGTAACTTGAGTGTAATTTTTGAGTTGAATTTGAGTTATAACTTAAGTTGAAGTTGTAACTTGAATAAAGTTGACTAAAATTGAATAAAGTTGAAACTTAAAAGAACGTGAACTTGAATAAAGTTAGAACTTGAGTTGTCTTTTTTTGAGTTTTTTGGACAAAAGAACAACCCCTAATATAGTCGTAATTTATAACTATTTATAGTAATTCAACTTCATAATTTACCAAACGCTATTACGCTGATTTTAAAATCAACACAGCTACTATAATTATAATTTACCAAACACTCAGTTATTTTTTGTAACACCTGCTTCTTCTTTTAACACAGAAAAAAATAATTTTTCTAAAATCTACAGTACTACCAAACTAAGCCTATATAGACGAAGAGATGGCTGCGCATTTCATTGGCAAACACTCTCTTACAAGAGGTAGTTGACACGAATCAGCAATTGAGCAAAGAACAAAAGATTGAGTCAGTCGTGGTTGACCTCTTAAAATCGCCCTTTATTGTCTCTACAGATACATGATGAAAATACGATAATTTGAAGCTTGGAAAAGTTAAATACATTGAAAGGTACACGAATGAGGCGGCTCAACTCTTCAAAATAGAGAATCCATGCCTAGTTGGATTGTAGTGGATTGAGTTTAATGGGTAAAGCCTAAAGCTAGAGGTCTAAAAGTAACTAAAGTTTCAAGCGTTTCAAATAAAACTCTGTTAATTGTCAAGACTTGAGAGCACGGTTATGGTTTGAGAAACCAAATTATCTGTTAATTGTCGAGCGTTTCCAAAATCTGCAAAGGGCATTCCACAATATTCCAAAACGTACTCAGCGAAACATTGTATAAGCAAAAGTAGGATCATGTAATGAAAAAAAAAAAAAAAAAAAAAAGTGTATCAAAATTTCAACTCTAACAAACTTTCCAACGAAAGCAAGAAATGAAATAAGACACTTTCCGTAAAAGAAAATTGGTACCTCTAACCCCGCAATGGAATATCCGCCCTACGTCAACTAAAAATTTGGTGTGACCATAATATTGTTATTGACGAGTAATATGTGCGAGCAAAGCAAAAGGATGTCCACAAGCACATGACAAAACTGAACGAAAAGAATCCAAATAGTGATAACTCTAAGCGCTCTTGTCGGCTTTTGCAGCAGTGGCAGCAGCTTGCCCTCGGAGACGACCAGTTCTCCTGGCTGCAATGAGACCGACCTTTTGCCCAGGGGGAGCATCTCTGCGAACGGTACTGGCATGACCAATGTGCTGATGGTTACCACCACCATGGGGATGCTCAACTGGATTCATAGCAACACCACGAACCTTAGGCCAGCAGTTCCTCTTGACTCTGAACTTGTGGTATGCATTTCCTGCCTTCAAGCGCGGTTTCTCTGTCCTGCCTCCGCCTGCAACCTGGCCAACCATAGCTCGGCAACCACTTGGGACAATCTTCTTGGCCCCTGATGGAAGCTTGATTCTAGACAGATAATAAGAAAATTTAAGAGGAAAACAAAAACAAGAAACCAACAAACAATCGTAAGTAGCAGCATCTACAAACACATTTTGGGTCAAGAAGAGGTCAAATCCATGAACTTAGAAAGGCATTGGTGAAAAGAGTAAAATTGACAACAAAAATGGGAGCGTATAACATAAGAAACAACCGAGCACATTAGAAGTGAAAATGAATTAACACGGATGATTGATTACTGGAAGTTGGCACAGTACTAGTAGACAACCAAATTGCCAAGTTATTCACTAAGACTTTTAGAACTTCCTCCTCATTCATCCAACCCGATTTTCCAAAATAGTATAACAAAAACCAATGTTACCGGGCAAATCGGTCAATTCTCTTGAAGAACTACTAGAAGATAACGATAGCAAATGCTTGTACTTAGAATTTACACAAGATCCCCCTCAAATCACTTTGCATGCTTGATCCAACTACATTACACTTCATAATGTGACTACAATATCCACATTCTCTTAAGTCGAACAATATGAAAGTTAGATAATGCAATCAAAGTGTAAGCTAAAAATTCGTAAAACCCGTATTAATGTCATAAAGTGGAATACTTTACCAAAAAAACTAACACCTCGTTCATTTCACCGATTCGAGTTTTCAATTCTAAGTTTCTATGGTAAAAACTCTCAGAAAATATCACATCTAATTTTTTCTACTACAGTAAAAAGTTTTCAGCTCGAATTAAAAACTCGAATCCGCGAAGTAAACGAGGTCTAAGTGAGAAAGTGCTACATTTTCAGTTTCAACAGTCGCATAACAACTTCTAGCAAATTTACTTATTAAGAACTTTGCAAAGTCCAAAACAATTTACATCACAACTTTCCAAAAGAAATTTCTAGCTAAAACCCATGCTTAAATTGTTGATGAACAGTGAAACAAATACAAAATTCAGGCCAGAGCAGAAACCTCCAATAAAAGTTTTCATTCTCATCCATTATGCTCCATCATTATCATCTTAATCAACATAATTCCCCTAACCACAAGATCCGCATTTTGTACATGACCAAAGAACACAAATTGATATTCGATAATAAAAATACCTGGTAGTGCCATTATCAGGGTTATGACTGATAACAACGGCGTAGTCACCGGAGGCTCTGGCAATAACTCCGCGGTCGCCGACGTGGTGCTCAACATTACATACGACGGCACCCTCGGGAATGGAGCCGAGAGGAAGAACGTTTCCGACGACGAGATTGGCCTTCTTCCCGCAGTAGACGAACTGGCCGGTGTACATACCCTCGGCGGCGACGAAGAGCTCCTTCTGGAGCTTGTAGCGGAAGGGGTGGCGGAAGGTGACCTTGGCGAGGGGGGCGCCACGGCCGGGGTCGTGGATGACGTCGGTGACAACGCCCTTTATGTAGCCGTTGCGCTCACCGAAGTCGAGGGATCGAAACCGCGCCGGACCCTTCCGATGGTGGGTGTGGGACTTGAAGACCGACCCCGCACCCTTACGCTGGGCGCGGATTACTCGACCCATTTGCTCGGAGAGGAAGGGGAATTAGGTTTAGGGTTAGGGTTTTGCGGCGGCGAGGCAGAAATGGAGACTCCGAGAGGATTCGTGTTGGTTTGGTTGGGCTTTATGTAAGGGGCGAGTATGCAGGTTCTCTCTTGGTGCTAATTTACTATATTATCCTTTATTTATCTTTCTTTTTTTTTTTTAACCTATTTGAAATACATTAGGATATGCATTAGGATTAGGATTAATTTCAAAAATTATTCCCAAAGTATGATCATTGTAACATTTTACTCTACGAACTTTTAAAAGTAACATATGTTTCTCTTGAATTTTATTTCGTTAACAAGTTTTTCTCTTCTGTTATAATGAGTGACAAAATTCACTACGTGTCAAGCACATGACCCATCTGAAGAGGATATTATCTTAAATTAACCTGTAACAACCCTTCCAAACGTTAAAGAAAGAAAACTCAGATCTTGAGCAACATAAAGATCAGGAAAAAAAGGACCCAGAAAACATAAGATCAAAAACATGATCAGAACAATGAATCCAAGACAGAATGTGACAAGAAACTTACTGAGAAAATCAGCATTCTCAAGACCCTTGACACTAACAAGAAGAACTTCAAACGTTCCTTGAGGCATCTTTTTTTTTTGGCCGGAGAAAGCAAGAGAGAATATTCAAATATCACAATTGAGATCTCATAACCTCTCTCCTCTTCATTCTGCATTCAATCATAAAATGAAACAGATTCAACTCACAGCTTCAATCAAACCCAAATGAACTAGATTCAACCCAAATATACAAAAGCTTTTTCTTCCAATGTTAAACGATTTATCTTATATTGAATGCACCCATAAAATTGTCTTCTTGGATTTCTCTTCGTGTGTGATGTCTTCACTATCAGATCCAACCCACATTGATGAACAAAATGAGGAAAATGGGGAACAAAATGAGGAAAAAAAAGGAAGGAAAATAGGGAACAAAGATGGTGAAATTTTTCAATAAAAATGGAGAATTATCTGATTAGGAGGGTATCAGCGTAATTGCACTTTTAATTCTCACTAAATAAGTGACACGTGTCAATTCCGTCACTCATTGTAACAGAAGGGTAAAACTTGTTAACGGAACAAAGTTCGGGGGAATGGATTTTACTTTTCAAAGTTCGGGAGGAACGGATGTTACTTCTCAAAGTTCAGGGGGTAAAGTGTTACAAGGGTCATAATTCGGGGGGAATTTTTAAAATTAATCCAACAATTTATTATTTTTCTCTGCCACAAGAAGAGCTAAGATTAGCTCATAAAATTTCTTATAATCGCGCAAACGATATTGTTGTTACAAGGTAATGTGAGATGCATGGAAAATGGAGTAAGTTTTCTCTAGCATTTCACCATCTGTGATATTTTCTCTACAAAATTTCAGTCGCAAAACAATTTTAAACATGACAGTGTTGTAGTCGTTAACTTTCTTAAAATCCTGGAAACATAAATTGTTTCACTCATCATGAGTAGCGGGAAGTACGACTTCTTTCTGGTGGTCATATCTCTCCTCCAGACTTTTTTAAAGGACAAGTGGATCCTTAATCGTGAGATATTACCATTTCAAGCCTTCATCAAAATGTTTATGAAGCAAAATTATTGCTTTCACCTTTTCTTGTGGTGACTTGTTATTATTTTCTTTAATGATATTGATTAGACCCATTGACTCTAGATGCATTTCTACATCTATGTTCCAAGACATATAATTCTTTCCCATGATGTCGAGTGTAATGAACTCAAGTTTAGTAAGATTCGACATGGTGATAACAATAACAAAATATTGATATAATAAGAATTATTGTATTATTATTACAATAACGAGTACAATTAAAATAACATTTTAATCTTAATATCAATAAATAAAAGGGAAAATATTACAATTATGAGTATTGCAAGGAAAAATGATCTTCAATAAAAAGAGCAAAACTATAGAAAATGACTAATAAATTAACAAACATCATCATTATATTCGCTATATCGTGAAGATTATATTAAGAATAGTGAAGAGAAGATAAGAAGTGAGAGATAAAAATATTAAGAAGGGCGAAGAGAAGATGAGAAGTGAATTGTATGGGTTAAGAAAAATCAAATTTTATAGAGTGAAGAGAAGATAAGAAGTGAAAGATAAAAATATTAAGAAGGGGGAAGAGAAGATGAGAAGTGAATTGTATGGGTTAAAAAAATCTGACTTTATAGAGTAAAAACTAGTCGTTAATAGTAGTGTAAAGATCCGCTATATTGCCGCTAGAAGTAGAAGAAAAATTACAATTGTATACCTCAAATGTTGTAAAGAAATAAACAGATGAGAATAGTAATATGCATACAAAAAGTGCAATAATAAATTATTACCTGCAGTTGGCATAGCTGTCCATTTATGAGAATACAAACAAGCCAAACTACTCGGTAAACCTTTCGAATGGTGTATAACGACAAAATTATAATAATTATAATACGTTAGTGGCATAAACCTCCTTTGTATGAATATAAAATAATAGAGTATATTTACATACCTTTCACTTGAATTAATAAGAGTAGAAACTTGTAGTAAAACTAGGGTTAGGACATATTTTCTTTTGACTTTAAGGTAGATGCTTGTAATTGGATTAGAACCTCCTTTCTTTGAATTAATGATGTAGACAATCTCAGTAGAAATAGAATGTTTGTGCTAATAACGTGTTATAGAAACTAAGAAAATGCAAAACTAAGAAAAAAACTTGAGAGAGTCTCATTGATCTTATGAAGGATACAAAATGAAGAGCCTTGGAGCTCTATTAATAGAAAAAAAAAATTAACACTATTCACGGTTACTATTTACACAATACGTACTTACTATTTACGGTACTACTTGCACAGTAAAATTCTAACATGAATAGTAATTTGATTGACTTGAATAATAACTTTGATTGAAATGGACAATTATTATTCATAACTGTGACGACCCTAACTTTTGATCGTCATCATATACTCATATTTAGCATTTCTTAACCTCTATGACGACCCTAATTATAACTTCTTAAAATTTCAGGCCATTTTTTTTTAATCTTACCATGTACGTTAAAATGCTGTAGCATTCTGACAACATTCTATTACACTATTTTATTTTACATATAAAGTTCAGCAGTGTTTCCAAAACACATGATGCGTCCACAACCCACTTGCCCACATTCCGCTGCTACACCCTCTCTGCATGCCCAGCATCAAGTTTTAAGGAGCTGGTGCCTTACCCGTGCTTCCTATAACACAAACAAACTTAATGAGCTTTTGCTCAGCAAGTATCAATAGGTCATAACAGATGCAATAATTATGCATACCCATAAATGCGTTCATATCATATAACCTAGTACAAAATTCTAAACGACTTTCATTCTGTATTTCTCATTCTTTTCATTCTTGTTTACGGATACCATATCGTTATATGGAATGGTTTCCGTGTTTCATTTTCTTGTCTTTTACTTCTTAGGGGCCCTGTCCTGTTGTACCATAACGCGCATAACCAGTGAGGAGTGGGGTAGCTAACCAATCCAACTCAGTCACGGTTTCATATCTTTCGTAGTCTCATAATAACCTTTCCTTCGAAGGCTGGTACAAATAGGACATTTAGTCTCTTACCGTTTATCAATTTTCTCATTGAAACGGTAACTTTAGTTAAATCTTATGATTTTGTGCATTATTGAGCATCTTATCATGAGATTAACTTTTTGTTAAACTTTAACATTTCACTTTTCTTAGTTTGATCTCGACCTAACATCGATACATATTTTTGTAGAATAAAGTTCTACGATTACATAAGTCTTGTAGATACTTACCTAACATAGTATCTAGCATTCACATTGTATCTATCATTCAAAATTCTACTATATGCACAATCTTTGTGCAACATAGAAAAGCAAGCTTGTTCATGACATAGCCATAGAAAAAACTATTGTACTTACAAAAGTTTCGCTAACAACGCGTCCTTTGTCTCCCTTGACGCTTTCCAACTTCAACCGTTAATCGGCCCTATTGCATAAATTTTTCGATCGTTAGATTCAGAATCTAAGATCAACAATTATATTGAAATTTACTTCGGAAAAGTCTACAATCCTTATGTTTGGTATTCAACCTCAAACCATTTCCTACCTCAAGGATTTGCACTAAAATCGTGCAAATTACTCAGTCATGGGCCTAATTTTCATTTTGGTCTAAAACTGTGAATTCTCGTTGTATTCGGTTTCTAACCATCACCGATTATCGAAACATCTTTCTTTTCACACTTTAATCCCATATTCCTCTTAAAATCCAGTTTTAGTTCAAATTACTCGAACTAAATTTTGGCAGAGTTTCGCCTTATTTTTCTCGTTTACCGAGTTTTTAACAACTCGTTTTACTTCTGATTTCGGTACCTGGAGTCAAGATTTACATTCCTGAACACAGATTCCATCATAAAATTGAACAAAACATATGTTCTTTCTTAATTTAGGCTCACGGATTTTCGATAGAAATCCACCAAAACTTTATTAAATCGTCTCTGCTATGCTATGCCTTACATTCACAAGTACATGCCGTGAGTAATGGCCTCAGTAAGTTTTGCATTAGTTGCGTGAGTTAACAAGCCTATGTGATTTTCAAGGTGAGTTACCCACGTGAGTCACCAATGTGAGTCACCGCCTCATGTTGTAAAGCCAAGTGTACCCCTGCATGTTTAATACATATACACCTCATGGTAATAATCTTTTTGACTTACCTTTTCTTTTTTTTTTAAACCGTACCTAACGATAATCTTTCATATATATATATATAAATATATATATATATACATGTACATATATTCTGTAACTTAGTTTTCTCTCTTTCTTCTTAGTCAGCCACACTTAGGCAAAGAAGACAAAAGTGGCTTCTAATATATCCATGGGACTCTTTTAAGACATTAATGAATATTATAATATTATTTTCAATAATATCTAATATTACTTTTTAAATTAAATTAAAGAAATTAAATTAATTTTCATAATTTAATTTTACTAGTTTTACTTAAGTTTAACACTTTATTTGAGTGGTTCTATGTTCCCCATATTTCTCTTGTCGAGACCGAACTTTCCGTTTCTCAAAATGAGTCTCTTTCCGGTACTAATAATTTCACACCCGGTATATGTTCTATACTGCTTTTCTGAACTGCCGAGCACCCTGGGTCAAATTTCTCATATTCAACCCATTTCTCTTGGGTATCTCATTAGTCAATTTCCTTTTCTGAAATTATCATTTTAATTGATTCAGAATTGCCCAAAACGCGTACCCTTGCGGTACTCTTTTTTTTGGCAGTTTCCCGCTTTAACTGACTCAGGAAAATTCCGTTTCAGAAATTTTTGCTATTTTCCTTACTTCTAATATTTCTATTCTTTTTCTAGCTGGTCATTTGGTCACATACAAAATATTTTAGTTTTTCATAACTAAAATATATCTGCTAAAATTTCTAACTTTTAACTGATATTTTACTATTCATAACTGATATTTACGAATTTTCTTTGTAAAATATTCATGTTATAACTTTACATATTTCGAGAAATTTTACCCCATACATAAAGTTTTTACATAACATTTTCTTGATTACATCAAAATTCTACTACTTACTATTCCGGAAAGAATTTTGGTCAAATACTGGACTGTCCGGATTAGACCTAAATTTTTCCCAGTCATTACAATAACAAACACGTTATTTGACAGAAAAGAAGGCACGCAAATGTTTTTATCATGCTACTCTAGTCTAGTGGAACTTTCATGTATGAACATAACGATTGCAAGTCTACTTATGTTATACTTCTAACCAACTAGTATATTTGAGAAAGTTATCCACTTAAAGCTAGATAATTTATTTATTTGACCTCATTTTCAAACCAAACCGTAAGAATTATATATAAGTAGGTTATATAATAATTTTTTATGTAGCCTTTGTGTAATTAAATATTTATTCCCCACATATGTATTATGGTTGAACAATTTCTAAATGAGTGCACAAACCCATTAGTTGATTATCAGATTTGACTTTTCTAAATGAATTATGAAGGTTATGACTTTTTAAGTGTATGAAGAGTTGTAAGGTTTTTAATGGACATTTCTTTTATGAAAAATTATGATTTTTTAATAGTTATTTTTTATATGAAGAGTGGTAACTTTTCTTTTATGTATTTCATAAAGGATTATAACCTACAGATACAATAATGGTAGAAACTATTAGAATATATAGGTCTCGTTCATTTTATCGATTTGAGTTTTCAATTTTAGATTTCTACAGTAAAAAACTCTAAAAAAATGTCACATCTAACTTTTTCTGCTACAGTAAAAAACTCTAACAAAATGTGTCACATCTCAACTCAAATTAAAAACTCGAATCAGCGAAGTGAACGAGGCGATAGTTGTCCAAAAAAGTTGTAGCTATTGGAATAGTTGTCTTGAGTATTTTGATGGTAAATACCCTTTTGATATTGTCTATAAATAGAGCTAATCCCCTCTCGGCATCCATATATAGTTGTTCCGTCACTTTTCCATACTGAAAGTTTTATTACTTCTCTGTACTGAAAGTTTTATTAGAATAAGAAATAAACTCGATTTTCACATTAAGACTTCTAGCCAATTCTAAAAGTAAAAAAAGCAATTATTACAATTTACTCAGTTTTTATCCCTTACTTCTTTTTTCTTTATTCCGTTTTCTTTCTTTCTTTCCCAACATAGTGTGAACTGTGAAGCTTCACTTTCTCATGAAAATAAAATCTTTTTCCTCATCTTTTTGGTAGGGAATGCAAACATCTTCTTCACACAATATCACTGGCGAGAAACGCTTCTTAGATTAAAATGCCTACATTTTTGGGACCACCTACTGTTGACCAGTGCCCACCTATGTACTATGTATGTCTCACATAGGTCGTTTTCTGATAAAAAGTCTCATCCCACGTTTCTCACACGTTGATGTGATCTTCGTAGAATTCTCTTAAATTTATATCGTTCCATTGAAGAAAAAAAAAAAAAAGTACTACCTCAAGGCCAATCCCTCAAGACCATATATACTATCTATTATCTATGATGTATAAGTAAACAATTAAGGCTCGTCCACTTCGCTGATTCGAATTTATAATTCGAGTTGAGATATGATTTTATGTGAGAGCTTTTTACTATAACAAAAAAGATAGATGTGACTGTTTCTGATAACTTTTTACGGTAGCAAAACTCAAATTCTAAACTCGACTTGATGAAGTGAATCGGTTAAAAATTCTAGACAGATCAAATCGGTCGAAACTTCTTCACACAATAATTCAAGCCAACTTAACTAACTAATTTAGTCATGGGAATCTCTGGGCTATTTTTTTATTTTATTTTAAATTTCTGCTCGCTTTTATTGACTTATAAACTGTATTCATTATAGTAAATTGTTGTTTTACTCTTAGTACTGATTTAAACGAGCCATTTGTACTCTTGCTCATGTGAATGACGTTTTGAAATGACGTACGGGCCCGTTCATTTCGTTGATTCGAGTTTGTAATTTGAGTTGAGATATAATTTTATACGAGAGCTTTTTACTGTAGCAAAAAAATTAGATATAACTGTTTCTGAAAACTTTTTACTGTAACAAAACTTAAATTCTAAATTCGAATCGGTGAAGTGAACAGGGCGTACTCTTCCTAGCAACGGAATATCGTCAATATTAGTTACATTTCAACATGTGCTTCCTTTTTCTTTTTTTCTTTAATATAATCGAAAAAAACATGTGATTCATTTTTTGACTGGTAATTACTTATATTACTGTCGTTTTCACAGTCCTCCAGGACAAATCGAAAAAAGTCGGTCATGATGTAGAACATTAGCTAGAGATTTCCCGTGAAGAATCCCAACTCCACTACCTATATAATGCACATTTTGCATACTTTGCATATATAGCTTTAGCAATTCACAATCTCCACGTCAAGAAGAGTAAATTAGATCATAGTAGTATAGAATCCATTAATATGGCAAAAGTTTTCCCCTTTTCTCCCCTATTTTGTTCCATTAAATATTCTAACCCCAAAACCAAAAGTGATTTACATACTATCTCTAGCACCCCCAAAACAAGGCATTTCCAGTGCTTGGCCAGCAAACAATTAACTTCGGACTCGGAAAAGATCATCACGAGACAGTCTGCCAATTACAAGCCAAGCATTTGGAGTTATGATTTTCTGCAATCCTTGAAGGATAATCCTATTGTAATTGCATATTTCCTTTCTTCTTCTTCTTCTTCTTCTTCTTTCTTCCAACTACACAAAGTTAATCAAGTTCTTATTGATCAAACAAGCTTATTTCCTAAAGTGTAAATCTTTGAATAGAAAAAAAAAAGAAAAAAAAGAAAAAAAAAAACCTTAATTTCGTACCAAACCGGTTCAAAGAGACTGGTTTTGATGATATTATATCTAGATGTGTTTTCTTACATTTCGTCTAAATTTTGTATATGTATGATCATGCAGGATCAAGTACTCAAAGACAAGGCAAAGAAGAGGGAGGAGGAAGTGAAGAGCATGATTACTAATGAAAAAACGGAGATTTTGACCACAATTGAACTGATTGATGACATCCAAAGATTAGGGTTGGGGTACAAATATGAGGATGAAATACGAAGAGCCCTCAGTAGATGTGTTTCTTGGGTGAAAAACAACGAGGGAAGAACGAAAAATCTTTATGCTACTGCTCTCAGTTTCCGGCTTCTTAGACAACATGGCTATGAGGTCTCTCAAGGTACAGTACTAATCATTTGCTCCCATCGCAAGTGGTAAAATTTCTTTCCAAGCTATAGATTTTGCTTATTAAGCAAGTTTTAGGGCTTGTCTGAAATGACTTAAAAACAGTTTTTTTTTTTCTTTTTCTTTTAAGTAGTCCAAAAGCTACTTTTAAAGTTGTTTGAATGAGCTTTTATATACTCTTTCAGAATAAACCAACTTTTTGGTGCTTACAGAAAAAGAGCTTATAAAAAAAGTTTTATTTACATTTTATGTGTCAAATTGAAAAGTCTATCTGTATATACTTGTATTACTTTTACTTTTTATAACAATAAAATTTTTTGATTTATTAACCAAACATGTTTAAAAACTCATCTGAAATAAAAAAATTACTTTTTCCCTTGCACTATAATGTTTCTCACTGCTTAAAAAGTAAAAACAAAGCTAATATGTTTATGATTGCGGGGACCACAGATATATTTAAGAGCTTCATGGATGGTCCCGAGGGATGCCTCACCAAGGACGTGAAAGGAATGTTGGCCCTATATGAAGCCTCTTATTTGGCTTTCGAAGGAGAACATCTCTTGGATGAGGCCAGGGAATTCACATGCATGCATCTCAATAACGTCCGAAAGGAAGAATATTCAAGCCAAAGCCTCAACGACCAAGTGATTCATGGACTAGAGCTTCCACTGCATCACAGAATGCCTAGGCTCCAAGCTAGGTGGTATATCGAGGCATATGGTAAAAGACCAGATGCAAACAAAGTTCTACTCGAAGATGCTAAGCTGGATTTCAACATGGTACAATCAACACTCCAGAGTGATCTCAAGGACATATCGAGGTATGTTTTGTATGAGTGAAATTACATCTTAGTACATCTTTTGTTTTTTTTAAAAATGATCCTTAATAGATATAATGCTATATAAGTAAAATGCCAGTCTACCTTGAGGCCACTAATTTGTACGATATAGAATGTCTTTTGTATCCTTTCAGACTTAAAACAGGATTAAGAAAAAAAAAATTCTAAAGAAAAAATACATGTATTTGTAAAATAAGCCCCTTATTTGTTTTCTTTTTTTTTTTTTTTTTTTTTAAAGAATTTTATGTATGAAATAATTGACTTTGGAGTTATTTTCTATGTGCGTGCGTGATAGTAGAAAATATATGCTTATGAGGTAGTAGTTTGAAACTTAAGTAGCTTCTCTTAATTAATTAATATATATGTTGATGCATGTTAATTAGGTGGTGGAAAGGTTTGAACTTAGCAAACAAGTTGAGCTTCACAAGAGACAGGCTGATGGAATGCTTCTTTTGGACTGTTGGAATGGTGTTTGAACCTCAATACAGTGATCTCCGCAAAGGGTTAACGAAAGTGACTTCCCTAATTACTGTCATTGATGATGTCTATGACGTTTATGGAACTTTGGATGAACTAGAGCTCTTCACAGCTGCTGTTGAAAGGTTGGAACTTAATTTGGTGAATGAACTCCACGTCAAAAAATCATATATTGGAATAAAAAAGAAACAATCTCACACGTGTTCCCGAAATTTACGCTTATTTTCATTTAGCCTCTTGAACTTTAAAAACTTTAATTTAGCCCTCTACATTTTGGATTACCCTATGTTAGAATTCCTGTTAAAATATCAGATAGAAGGAAAAAGGATTAAGTGACATCATGTGGGGTCTATTTTATGTGCTTTTAAAGAAAATTATAACAAGAAAATAACGTTACAACATTTAACCCCAGTTCGTTCCGTCTATTTTTAATGAATCTAATAGAGTGGGTTAAATGAGACTAATTCATATTTTGGGAATAAAATGGGAATTTTAAAGTTTGAAGGACAAAGTGATGAAAATTATGAACCTAAAACTTGGGAAAACATGTGATTTTTTTTTTAAAGAACCTAGTAAGTCCTAGAGTATTTATGTATTCTTTCTTGATGGTAAATTTCAGGTGGGACATCAAAGCTGTGCAGACTCTTCCAGACTACATGAAGATATGCTTCCTAGCTCTCTACAACACCATTAATGACATGGCTTATGACACTCTTAAGGAGCATGATGAATACATCCTTTCCTACCTCACTAAAGCTGTGCGTTTTGACTCGCATATATACATTGATCACTTTTATTATTGACTTCTATTTCCAATATTATTAAAAATAAATTGCAACTTTACTCATTGACAATCTCATAATTTTGTGTATTCATGTAATTTTCAGTGGACCGACATGTGCAAAGCTTTCCTACAAGAAAAGAAGTGGTCCCAAAACAAAGAAACGCCCCCATTTAAGGATTACCTTGAGAATGGATGGGTGTCGGTTTCAGGCGTAGTAATATTAGTTCATACATATTTTCTTATGAGCAAAAGCATCACAAAACAAGGACTTGAGAGCTTAGAGAAGTGCCATAATCTCTTGCGTTGGCCTTCCATCATCTTTCGGCTTTGCAATGATTTGGGAACTTCAACGGTACAGTTTACAAACCATCTATTATTGTTTCTTTCTTTATTTTACCTTTTTTTTTTTTTTTTAGCATTTGACTTACGTATCGAGACTATTCTATAATTACAGGCAGAACTGGAGAGAGGTGAAACTGCAAGCTCAATCTTGTGTATGATGCGTGAAACTGGGGTTTCGGAGGAACTTGCTCGGAAAAACATAAGGAATTTGGTTGAAGAAACTTGGAAGAAGTTGAATAAAGATAAAACAGATGAAGATTCTCCGTTTTCAAAGCCTTTTATAGAGACAGCAATAAACCTTGCTCGGATTTCCGAGTGTACCTACCAAAATGGAGATGCGCATGGAGCGCCAGATAGTAGATCAAAGAACCGAGTCTTTTCTTTAATAATTGATCCCATTCATTAATAAAACGGGTGCATTCACGGTGAAGAATGTTATTTTACTCTATTTATATCAGCTGTGTTTTAACTATTAAATTAGTTTTTAAGAGTCTGATTTACAATAAGAGCTTCTTTATTGCGCCCACTAAATTTTTAGTGTGGCCATAACTTACTCGAATGTGTTATAGGTGGACATTTGTTTACAAATTTATTATGCATGTGTTATAGATGGACACCTTGTACTTGTCTTGTTCAAGAAAACCTACTATACTCTTGACCGGAACAAGGATTGATGTTTAGATTCTACAATGTATTGTAGTCTTGTTATTTAGAAATCAAGGAAAAATTTTATAAATTCCTCTAAACTTTGTATGTCACGACCCCAAAAATGTGACCATGATTATTGAAATTTAATTAAAAAAAATTAGCTTAATTAAACTGCACTGTTTAACGAAAACTGTGAAAATAAATGCATAAATATCAAGATATATTGCTCCGGAAGCTTTCTTTTACAAATAATATTAAAAAGTCCATAATTTTAAACTTAACAAATCTCAGGGAAAATGCCGACCAATACAGATCATATACAAGTATACAATACAACTTAAGAATTTAAAAACAGTAAATTCTAGTTAAAACAAGCCACCTCATATCTCGAGCCTTCAATCCATTGACGTCAACTTACCACATTGCCAATCAAGCTACCAACTCTGGAGGGGAGAAAAACATTTGAAATAGGGGTGAGCCAAATGCCCAATAGGAGAGTAAAAGTGGAATATAATGAAAAACAACATTAGAAACAATAGTTTCAGTATTTGAAATCCTCAATTCAAAACCTTGGCATCTGTGAGCGGTAAACTCAAAACTGAAAATCTCAGCAAGTGTAAACATCTTTTGAATAAAACAGATAATCAAGTATTTTAAAACCCCTTCTAAAATACAAAAACTCTCTCAAATTTATTTCCAATTGTACAAGGAATCTAATCCTTTAGGTAATCAACAAGTACCAAGTACTTGTAAATCTATTTAAATTCTAAAACATCCTAGAACTTGAAGTATTTTAAAACCCCTTCTAAAATACTAGAATGCTCTCTAATAGTACCAGACATAATATCTAACATCTGTGCTAAGCCAATGTAACACTCTGCGCGGGTTTCGGGACCTGCCCCCAAGGATACGATCTCCATATCCCGATCTCTTAGCCATCAAGCACACTAAGTATCTAATTGCTCATCAAGTCAGTGTTCAAGAGCTAATCACTCATCAGAACAGTGCCACGAGCTCTACATGTTTATACACCATGCTCAAATTTATTTTTAATTCGAGACATATGCTCTTTTTTCAAAAGGTTTTTCATATATATAATCGCTATATATATATATATATATATAGACACACACACACATACTTTTCAAAATCCTTTTTAAAGTCTCAACACCGGTAAAACTGACCTTTTCACCGAGAAGTGAAAATCCATGAAGTATGTCCAAAAGAGGAGAAATGCAATCTCATGCTCAAACAAGATCAAAACTCAAGAAATGAACATGCTAAGTTCAATAATCTGTAAAATATCCATGAATGCATAAGCGACAATGCAAAAGTGTCATACTCCAATAAGATCCATTAAATCTCCTTGAGATATCATAATTATCAAGTGTTAGTTTTATCCTCATTTAACACTTTTCATCGTATTCCCTTTAGAACCTCATTCTTAATGTTAAACAACCACAAACGCTCCAAATTTCCAATCGTTCAGTCATAAATCAATTTCTAACTCGAATCCATATTCTTCATAAATTCAGTAAATTGGCAGATTCGTCGACCTTCACGGGAATATACACGAATTATTATCTAAATCTCCAAAAATTCCAAAACGAACTCCATAAAAAAGTAGACACGTAAATCTTTCTAACGAGCTATCACACGCCTTAATCCGAGCTCTCTAAATACCTCAAAAACAGTTCTTAAAAAATCAAAATTCTGAGTTTTTCCTGATTTGACAGCTTTTGGAAAGTTTCTACATGAAACTTCCAATGCGCACAACTCGGGATACAAAACTCCAAATTAAGTGATTCCAACTCCCACACGTCACCAATAACTTGTTCTAAGAGGTAGAGAAGACGGTTTAGGTGCAGCAACTATAGATCATAAAGTGAGCATCTCGGTTCTTATTTTACTAATTTTCTAGAAAACGCAGTTTTTGCGACCGTTAGAAGAATATTCATAAAATATTCTACATAACCCCAAAAATTACAAAATCAGCTGCTAATCAAAATAGACATCTAAGGCTTTCCAAAGAGGTATGACAAGCTTAGTTTTAAGTCCGTTAAAGTCTCCAAAAACACGATAAACCAGATCGAAACTTGCTGGTTTTTCTGCAGAAAAACCAGCCACTAAGCCTAACTTCAAAAAGTCATAACTTGAGTTACGGGTCCCCATTTAATGCGATTCTTGTCTCTAATCGAAGCTTATAACGTCTATTTTATTGTCCTATACTTTGTAGGATCAGAAACTTAACAAGGAAATGCAGTTTTCTATTCTTCTTTAGACATCCACTTACATAATCTTAAGAACTTACTAATTTGCACATAAACGCATGGGCACAACCCAAATTCTTATTACATCTCTCTAAAGACATCTCATATATTCCATGGAAGAGGGGCAAGTATTTAACTACTCACATCATACTTGCACTAAACCCAAAATCAATAGATTTGTCTTAAATGCTATCTTTACAATCCAAAACTCCAACCCATGCAAAAGAGTAGGTTAAACATGCCTCTAACCTCATATTTATATCTCCAAACCATGTTACACAAATCTAATATTTCGAGATTCAATCAAATAAAGGATTTCCATTGGGTCCAACATATCAAATATCAACTCTCGTATCAATGCTCTCTAAATTCAAGAGTTTATCAATTTATCTATATGCAAAGTCAACATGCACATGTTCAACCAAAATATGAATAAATTCGGATTAAAACATAAAGGGAAAAGTAAATCAACTTTTGAACAAGAAAACCCTACCTCAAAAATAGAAGCTCCTTCCTCAAAATTTCCTTAGGGCTTTGCATCTCGACGTCGTCCTCAACGTTTTGAAGCGGGTGGTGTCGACCACCACCACCGGAAGTGGTGGCTCACGGCGGGGGCGGCGGTGGAGCGCCGGTGGGCTACCGGGCATGATGGATTTCCATATTCAATATGGATGCCATCTCGTTCTCCTCTTCGCTGTGAACTCATAGAAACAAGAATCACTTATTCTGATTAAGAACGAGTGAGTTATGGAGTTTTGAAATTGAAGAAAAATTTTTGGAAAGATGAGAGAGAGAGAGTTCGGGTAGAGGAGAGAGAGTTCGAGAATAAGAGGGAATGGGAGAAAATATGGGGGAAGGAAAAGGAGAAAAGAAAGAAAAAGAAAAAGAAAAAGGAAAAACAAAAAAAAAAAAAAGAAGAGAGAAATGGGCTCGAATTTTCTGTGCAGATCTACTAATTATTTTTTAAAGTTCAGTTTAATTAAAATTTGTAGTGGCATATTATTTTTGTTTTGAAAAATTAACTACTAATATTTTAAAATTATTTAAGAGAAATAACAGCATCAATTAAAAATAATTCTTTTTAAAGGATAAAATTTTTGTACGTGATAATTATAACTAAAAATATTTTACTAATTTCAGATTAATTTATCCTAATTACCAGATTAGATTAATTAATCTTAATTAATTTAACCGGGTGTTACATTGTCACTTGTGTTAACATACCTTTCGAACTTTAAAACGTATATGTTGTGTCCGTCGAACTATGACATGTCTCCAACTTCCCCTCTTGGTCTGATTCCGTCAAGTTTTTTGACATAAATGCTTATAAATCCCATTCTGAATTTTATCACTTGTGTCAAGTGTTAACATGCCCCTTGAAGTTTGAAATGTACCTGTTGGGCTCCCAAACTATGATTTGTCTCCAACTCTTCCCCACAATCTTGATTCTATCAATTTTTTTGAGCAGAAATGTTAATGTGGCTATTAAATACTAATTACATATGATATTTGGGGTTTATTAAATGTTTTTCCCTCCAAAAACATTAGTTAGACATTAATTTTTAAAACATTAGTTGGTTAGAGGTAATAAAGAGGAAAAAAATGAAGAACAAATCAATATAATGTAATGAGTTTAGTTATTATTATTTTTTTCTTTTTCTCTTAACTTAATAATATTTAAACTAGATGGAAGTGCTCGATAGAAAATATATTTATGCTTTATTCATATAACATTTTTAAATAAAATATGTAAAGGTCATTCTATCTTTTTTAAGAGAATTCAACACAAATCTTAAGAAACTCATCAACTTAACAAACTTTAAAAGAAAAAATATGCACTATAAAAAAACAAACACATATACAAAATTCAAGAAAGAATTTATCCTCTGCATTAAGAAACCTATTAATTTAATAAACTCATTCCAATGAAAAAGGAAAAAAGACCAAAAAACTAATAAACTCATTATCTTGTACAGATCTGCTCCTTATTTTCTTTTTCTATCTTTGTTGTCTCTAACCAATTAATGTTTTAAGAATTAGTGCCTAACTAATATTTTTGGAGGGACAGACATTCAATAGACCTCAAATATCCTACATAATTAGTAATTTAATTGCCCTGTCAACATATCCGTTTAAAAAATTGACATAATCAAGATAGAGAGAGAAAAATTGAAGACATATCAAGTTCTAGGGCACAACAGATCTATGTTAAAGTTTAAGATGTATGTTAACATAAACGAAAAAATTTAAGGATAATTTATAAGCATTTTCGTTAATAAAAAAAAAAATTAACGAAATTAGACAGAAAAGGAAAAATTAGAGATAAATTATAATTTAAGAGCACATTTTAAAATTTAAAAAATATATTGATATAAGTCATAAAATTCAAAGAGAATTTATAAAGTTAACGGGGAAAGCAATTTTGAGCCTTTATATAATAAGGGACGCAACTTGCTCGAAATGCACGTGTGGGGACCGTGAACCAACTATGGCCCTTAGTACTCTCTAAACTCTCTGGAGCTCTGATCAATGGCCAATGTCAACACTTTGACTTTACCAGATAGCACGAGCCTTTTTTTTTTTTTTTAACAACTATTTACTTCCATGGGCTTTCTAAACGGTGATGTTATAGGCTTGTTTGTATGAGTGGAATTAAGATATAAAAATCTTTATGTAATATTTTAACAATTACAAAATTATACTATAATGCTTACAATGATTTTCACTTTTTATGCTACAAATTACATAATAATCATCACAATAACTAATTTTAGTTATTTGTAAAATATTTTAATTTTTGTCTCTCCATATTTCAACGTGCGCGGCAAAGATTGCGCTACATGAGTAACTCCACCGAAACGATCCTCCACATTGCTGCCATGCATGTCTACCCACTGGGATGTGAGCCTAGGGGAGTCATCAGTGTCCTAAATCTGGTTAATTTAGCCTTACATTTTCTTTTTCTTTTGGTTATAGCTTGATATTGCTTTCTTAAACAAGAAAAGAGACAATTATTCCTTAAATTACATGGTCTAAAATTAATTTTAATTTTATTTTTAGATTGATATTTTTTTAATCAAATAAATATATTAGTTAAAAATGTATATATTAAGAGTAATTAAAAAAAATCTTGATCCGTGCAGTTTAACAATTTTCTCGTTCTATTTCTTTTAATATCGAAAAGAAAAGCTAAGACAGAAGTTGTAAGCACGAAATTTTTATTCTATTTAGAGAAAACAGCAGCCATAGAATTCAACCTTAACGGTTGTTAACAAGGTTGGCAAAAGGTAGGACTTTAGTTTTTGGCTGCTTTGTTGCTGTCCCCTTTCACTCGTGTAACTTCATGTCGTTTCTTTCTTCTTTATATGTTTGATTTTTTTTTTCCTTTTTTGTTTCCACAATACCTTGTTCATGACTTGGAACCATGATCAATATGTACAAGAGAGACAATTTGGTTTTCTAGTTTCTATGTTGGTTTGAACTTTATTTGTCACCTTACATATTGTTTGCCTAGTTATATGCGTTTTAAGTGTTTGTTAAAATGCGTGACTGAGATTTGGTTTCATGTTACTCTAGAGCTCAATCTTGATTCTATATTGATTCTGAACTTTATTTTTCCCCTTCTATGCCTATTTGTTTGTCTATAAATATGACTTTCTAAGAATGAAGCTATTAGTCTTATGTCATAAATTATTGTCATTATTTATTCCTTCTGTAAATATGGAAAAAAAAAAAAAAAAAAAAAAAAAAAAATTTTCAAAAAAAAATAAGGGGGGGGTTTTTTTTTTTTTTTTTTTTTTTTTTTTTTTTTTCAATTACTACTGAACTAGGTGTATGGAGGTTTCGGTTTTACTATGGTTCAAAAGGAGAGAAACTCGGTAATTGTATTGTCAACTTAATCGTGGGCAAAATTTATAGAGCGATTTGCTTCCTAAAAGGCAAAACAAAACCAACTTTGTCCGAGTGTGTTCTTACCATTTTCAGCAGTTCAATTCATTATATATATATATATATATATATACACACACATATATATGTATATATATTATATTTTGCAGCTCAAGTACAAACTCCTCTCATGTTTCTTCGGCGGCTGGCAGTTGCATTTCCTTGTTCTAGAAGGTTTCTTAGCAGTAATAGCAGCCATGATCTCGCAAGTGCTATAATGGAGCTCAATAAGGTAATCACTCCCTAGTAATTAAAACCCGGTTTGTCCAATCTGAAATGTTGAAGAATCAGGTGTTGAAAGTTTATTATGTTGTTACACTTTGACTTTTCCGAATCCTGGTTATAGGAAATGGAATCAGTATTTGGTGAACCTCCTTCAAATTCTCTTGTCAGTTCAGAAAGTAACAATTACACAGCTCCAGAACCACGCTGTACTGCTCAAAAGGACGGAGAAATCGCAATCGGTCTAACCCATGTAGGGAGTACAAGGAAAGCCCAAATGGTGGACGTTTCTTTCAAAGGAAATAGCAAGAGAACTGCCGTTGCTAGTTGCAAGGTGATCCTTGGAAAGAAGGTGTATGATTCGGTATTAGCCAACCAGATTGCTAAGGGAGATGTGTCCTTAGTGTGGCAAAAATCGCAGGGATAAGCGGTGCAAAGCACATCAGTAATCTCATTCCACTATGTCACAACATAATTATGAGCCATGTTCGCGTCGATCTGACGCTGAATCCTGAGGATTGGAGTGTGGACATTGAAGGGGAAGCAGCATCAACCGGGAAAACCGGGGTTGAAATGGAAGCTTCGACGGCTGTGAGCGTGGCTGGGCTAACGGTGTATGATATGTGCAAGGCTGCTTCAAAAGATATCAGGATTACGGATGTACGTTTGGAGTGCAAAACTGGTGGGAA